CACCGGGATACGCGCCACCGGGATACGCGCCGCGCCCGCGGCCAACCCTCCCGCATGCCCCCCGGTACGCACCGCGCGGCTGGCCAGTCGACAGCCAGACTCTGGACAGCTACGAGGTGATGGACCCGCGGGATGCAGGACACTATTACCGCCCACTGCCCCCTCAGTTCCGCGCGCCCGAATTCCGCGCGCCCGGCCTCATGACGCCCGACGGCACCTACATCCCGTCGGGGAGGGTCCACCCACATTTCTACGAGGATTTCGGCCAGGCAGCTGCATTCGCCGACGTGCCTCAAGGCATGCCGTACGCCGGCTTCGAGGCGGCTGCCCCGCCTGCTCGTAGGATGCCTGGGACAGCCGGCGCGCAGACAGCCGGCGTGCAGAGCCACGACGAAGGCGAGCAACGAGGCGACGCCGGGCCCTCCATGCAGGCTTGATGCATTTCGCAGGTACCGTCATGATGTATTGTCAATCTTGTGTACAATGTACTCGCTACCCAGGCCCTCATCTTGATCTTGTGTAAAGTACTTCGTAGTAAAAACAATGATATTGAGAGTGATTATCGTGTACTACAGGTGTGATGTACATAAATTACTAAGTACTAGTAAAAGGAGCGAATGTGCACTCCCATCAAGACAGGCAACAAATGCCATTCTAGGGGAGGATGTTAGAGACATAACATGTGATGCAAAGGACTTGAAGCCTCATGGAGGAGGGTCGGTGTACCATCTGTGTACCATCTTAGGATGGTGGCGGCGAGGGCACCTAGATGGCGATGGGATGCCCCTATATCCTATTTGGGTTACAGTGGAGGGGATCCTCGAGGAGGGATCCCCTCAGACCCATTTCGCACCACCCCTAAGGGGGTCTTCTTGACGTTGACAGGTCCTGCCTGGGGTGCTATTGTATTGAATTTAAGCATGTTGTAGCAGATGGGGTTGCAGCGTAGATGGGTTGCGATCATGTCTATGCTTGTCTCCTTTGACATGCATTCGAGCTGTATCGTAGGTAAGTAGAGAATGCTCGGGCACAAGCGCCTATAGGAGGAGCGCGACGATCTGGACTCCAGTGTGATGTGGAGGTTGCCTGCCATGTGAAACGATTAATAGCATGAACATGTGTAACTCGAACACAAAGCAAGATAAGTCTGCCTCGAGGTTATCTGTTTATCCTCCTTCTTGAGGATATTCGTAGTCCAACTGGGCTACGGAGAATGCATCTCCTGAGATCCTCACAGCTCAAGCCCAAGCTCCTGATATAGTACTACCTGCCGCTGCCAGACTGTCAGTGAGTATCATGTCCCACTCGATCGCTCACCACTCAGTACGTTGCAACCAAAGGTTGCAGCAAGTCCTGTGAGAACGACATCGGAAATACCGCCGGCAGAGAACGTCTTCGATGGACAGGGAGAAATATGTGATTAGGGCACAGCGATCTCTGTAATCCTTGCGTTGCGCTACCCTTTGTGCACATCCAGACGCAGCGACATCTAGTAAGTTTGCCAAATGAGGCAGGAGGAGCGAAGGAGGAGCGAGTCGCTCGGAGTGATACCATTGAGTTTTCAACATTCTGTGAGCAACAGTGAGTATTTTCAACAAATGTACCATGCTTTGGAAAGCTCTAGTTGGTGGAGAGATGGGCCGCGATGTGTAACAGGTAGCAGAGGGAGAGGACCAAGGGGCGTCCGTTCTGACAATTTCGCACCTCAACCCTAATGATGTGAGCGGCAAGACCCCTGGTACAGGATCTTCCACCACTACTTGGATAAGATTAGATTAGGACACATGATCATGTCTGGTAGCTGCTTTGCACCGACACTCAGGATGTATGGTCAATTATTGACCTCTCTGATGCATATTGGTGGTATAATTAAGTGAGCTGAATAGAGTCCCGAGTCCAGTGAATGTGCATGCCCATGCAGAGAGGTGGAGAGGGACGTGGTGAACGAGAATTTGATCGAGGGCGAAGACGCCGATCCTGTGGCATCACGTGACTTAATTTGTCGGAAATAAATTAGATTCTGAGTCATGCGATATCTAGGATCAAGATAAGATAGTTATATCAGCTGAGGGCATACCACCACTTCAGAGTGGTTAGACCATGGTCAATCTGGACCAGAACTATCTCCAGAGACGCAGAATACAGTAACGATGGAGCTCCGAAAATTCGGAGGTCAACAACGCATTATTTGCACCGCACAGAAGAAATTTAGCAGATTTGGCTTGAAGAGCTAAATCTGGACCCCTGATTCTAATCAGACCACCACCCACCAATAGGGTTGGAGTCGCCGCAAGTTCTAACGGACGCCCCTTGGAGAGGACCATGACCCAACTTTGGCCTTGGCGAAAATAGATAATGTCATCCGATTACGCGATCTGGCCATTTCTCCTAACGCATCTGTCAAATCAAGGTTGCACCCTGGTCCACACAATTAGAAACAGCCCTCCCTCGCCGTGGATCGTTTCGAACATCCAACCACTAACTTGGGAGACTTAACAGAGCCTAATAAAAATGCACCCAGCAAGTTGTATCATGTCTTTTGTTAATCAGCCTCAGTGAACTTGCAGCTTAATGTGTGCTCGAAATGCACTCGAAGTGATGATAATGTCATGTAAGCATGCCTGAGGGGTCTGCTAGCCGTATACATGAAGCTACGATATGTTTATTTTAATTTCTGATGATTACCCAATATAATGTTGAACCACTAGTGAGGTTCCCGGCGGGTAGCTGCGACGGGCGTCCCACTTAGACTTCTATAAATGGTTCTAAGACCTGATAATTGGCAACAGTCGCCGGTTCTCACGCATGTTGGCCCACTGGTGTTCGCCCGAGGAGACACCCGAGCGAGATGGGACGTGTGATACAGGGTGCGAAGTCTACATGTAGCAATTTTAATATATAGGGTTTATTTAGAGGATTTGAATGGCACAACAGGCATAATATTCGATGAAGGGGGTGAGCTGTTCTTAAAGGTGTGGACAGGAGTGCACTCTACTCATGACAGGATTGTGTGGCGGGCGGGACAGGATCTCCGGCGGTGAGGGACCGGATCACTGACCGGGGCGGACCAAAACGAGTGCCGGGGCGGGCATCGGGGCGGTTTGGTACGGGCAGGAAGCTTATCTGATTTGACCGGTTTGCGATCTCAAATGACATTATCTACTCACGCTTGGCCTTATCGGGACTTAGGCGCGCGATGCCAGCGCTGCTAGGTTTCATTGTCTCGTATTCGTCCAGACCCCCTTTCGCGGTGGTGGGGTGCGAGTACGGTGGGGTACGAGACAAGGGTTTCACGTCTCAGAAAAAAAAGAGCGCAACAAGCGGCAGCTTGAAATTAGTTCAATTTCTCAGATCGCGATGATGGTCTCCGATAACATACCGACTTGGTGGCTCACCTTTCTCTTCGAGTTGAACTGAGACTTGTTCACTACGCAATAAGTTGTCAGATATGGATATCCGGAGCTGGCACAGCAATTGTCAACTCTGCTCTCAGGAGACAAACTGAATTTATGTACGAGCCAAAGTAGTTTTTTCCTGCTTCTCAGCTCCGACGAAGCGGCACCTGTCGTTTGTAGTAGGTACATTTTCCTTTTTGGATTTCTTCCATACTTTCCCGCTCTCTCAAAACAATGTTGCACTCTTCTACGTAGTAGTGAATATGGGCCACGTATGTTTTGGATAGACCTTCACGCAAGCCCTGTGCTTTTCCCCTTGTCCTTGAACCCAACGCGGGATTACAATCTGATAGTGTCGCCCAACTCGTGTTTCTTTTCTCATTGCATCATCACATTTTACCTCGTCATAAACGACGGTCCATACACAGAGGAGCAAAGGCAAGTGAAATAAGTACCTAGTATCACGTAACAACGACCATCAGCCAGCAGCGGTCTTTCAGCGCTCTTCCACAACTGATACCTCGAGAGACGGAGCAGCTCTGCGCCGCGTGAAGGACCCCGCAGTCAGCGAACATCGTACGCCAATTTGCACAAGATGCACAGCGACACGAGCTCGAGTGCTGCACCATTCCCTCCGGCTGCCAGCGGTGCAGAAGTGGTCGAGACAGATGGCCTGCAATTCCGACCACGAAGGAGATCGCGAACTAGGAAAGCGTCCTTGGAGACCACGATACCCGTCGAGCGAATTGGTGAGCTCGACAGGCAAGAAAAGTTTTGTGAGGCTACGGAGGAGCTCAATTACGAAGTGGAGGACGGGCTAGCAATGAAGGACCAGTAATATCAACTCTTCTTGTGTGTTTTGTACAACATATAGCAGTAGCTGCACTCTTATGCACAATGCAGATCATGCAGCTCGGTACAGCGGGATTACCTGGAGAGGTCGCTAGTCGTACAAGTCTGGCCGTCTCTTGCCTGCAGTCAGCACCTCCACCCCGGTCTCGGTGACGCTGGAGAAATGGGATAAGACTTGGATCAATCCAGATTCCTGGGCACATAACGGGGGACGTACAGAAGGGTATCCTCAAACTGTGCACTGGGTTTTCCATCGACGGTAGTCGCCGTCCAATCGTCCGGCCAATGTACCAGGTCCCAATTATGACCCAGGTTTATCATCTAGAATCAAGAATACGCGCTGAGATGCTACCCTATGTATGGTGCGCGCAGTTGACTTACCGGCTCAATTGTGAAGATCTTCACACGCACAATATATAAACAGTGAGTTATTGCACGTTATCAGAATGAGGAAAACCTGCGCACCATGCCAGGTTTCATCGTGCCAACGGCCTTGTTTTTGGCATAGTACGGCACGTTCAAAGGAGCGCAATGGAACAGCTCGTGGATGCCGTGCCCACAATATGTTCGCACTACCGCACAGTTGTTTGCGCGTGCGATGGGCTCACTGCGAGGCAGGATGGAGTGAGCGTGGAGAGCGATTATGCGGGGGGGGGGGGGTGTGGAAGACGCACATGGTCTTGCCAAGGTCACGGAAAAGGGCACCTGGTTTGCACAGTTTGATAGCCTCGTCAAGGGACTGGCGTGCAGTGCGCAAAAGCTTTTGTGTGTCTTCGTTGATACGGCCGACAGGGTATGTCTCGTTCAGATCACCGTGGAAACCTGTTCGACATTTCGTATCGTCAACCTCAGATTGGGAAACTTGCTCCGTGCGCACCATCATAATACAATGTCACATCTGTACGCGGGAGTTGCAGGGTCAGTGAAGGCTTTCATCGGTGGTGGAGCAGCCTCACCAATGTTGATGATGTCGCCTTCTTGCAGCCGACGCTGGTCCGGAATGCCATGGCAAATTACTTCGTTGATGGACCTATGTATGATAAAGTGAATCCATCTAAATGCAGTGCCGGACGGGTGGCACTTACGTGCAGACGGATTTCGGGTACCCTTTGTAGTTCAACGGTGACGGGTAGGCATTCCGCTTGATGGTCTCGTTGTGCACGATCTCATCGATCTCATCGGTGGTGATTCCAGGCCGGACATGTGAGGCAGCGATGTCGAGAACTTCGCGTGCAAGCTGGCGGTAAATGCGGTCAGCTGCACTAGTGCGAGAGAAGAACCCGCTTTGCTCGCAGGTTCGAGGCACGAACGACAGGCGCACTCACCCTGCACACAGTCCGCATTTTCTCGATTTCCTCGGCATTCAGGATCCTTATCGGCTGGCCCGCCCGTCTGCTCTCCGATATTGGGTTGCCTGCGGGGAGGAATGGTCATGGCTCGCTTACATCGTGGTTTCACCCCGCGGAACAGTCTGGTGATGATCGTACCGTCTTCTGCATAGTCCGGCCGGGGGATGTGCTCAGGAACGTGACGTTTTGGGGAGAGCGGGTACGCTGGGCGCAGTGTGCCTGTGAAGTTGAAGCCGCCGAAAGGGTTGAATGTGCCGTCTGCAAGAGCCGCGACATCAGCAGACGAAACATGCGCAGAGAATCATAGTATTGACTTTTATTGATATTTGGGTCTTCGAGGAGTGGTTGACGCGATGCAAGGTCGTGGATCAGTTTATGCGTTTTCTGATGATATGATCAGTACTTGTAGTGCCTCTGGTGCACGGAAGTAGTGTTTCACCCCTACAGGCGGTTATCTATGTCATGTATACTCAAGAAGTGATCATAACCAGCGACTTACATCCTGCCTTGAAGCAACCTTGCCCGCAGAAGAACGAGCCACTGATTCCGAGCCTGCGGCGCGTCAGAGGAGACGCAACGCTTCGAGAGGCAACGCGAGCACTGACTTGTGGCAAGTAGGGCATTCGAGACGAGAAGGCGGGTGGCCGTTCGGGCAGATACTGCTCTGGCAAGGGATCCCAGGCGCACTCATACTTGTATATAGGCCGGTAGAGAAAGGATAGAAAATGAGGCGACTCTCATCTTGACTCGGGACACGAATTACACCGGGTCACGACGGGCGCTCAACGTTCAATCTTCCGTGCCGACTTTGAAAATGATTTTGATTACTCAGGCTCCGTCGCCGAGACTCCTCTCACGCCGTCTTCGAATCTGCACCCCATCATCAGAGTCCACCGCTTGTTCATCAGACGAAGCAAGTGCCCTTGCACAACCATCGTCCTCCCGCAACTTCTGCAAGTCCGCGCACGAGTTCTGGTGGCTGCGCGAGCGCGATCGCCCAGCAGGCTTACGGGCTTTGAGGTAGCCGAGAACGTTGTCGTTATCGCTCACCTCGTCCTCGGATGGCGCAGGAGAAGATGCGCGGCTGATCTCTGTGCTCGGCGTGCCCGCCCACGCACTTGTCCCACGCGCTGTGCTGCGGCTCCAGCCGAAGAGCCGCTCATCAAGCCACGTCTGACAGAACGAGCGCTGAGAGTGCATTACTACTTGAACCTATGAAGCAAGCTGCCTTGCGCATCGACGCCGCCTGTGCTGCTTTTCCGCCGCCACAGGCCGGGTGTGCCAGAGGAAGGCGGAGCACCAGCAGACGGAACCGGAATTCGATCCTGTCGTGAGTATCAGTCTTGCGTATCAGAATGATGTGAGAATATCACTTGCCATGTCAAAGTCATCCCACAGCTTGGGTCCGGACTCGCGCACGACATCGGCAAGTTCATTTGATACTTCGATACGCATTGCCTTCACCTCGTCGAGCACACGCGACTGTCCAGGTATGAGCGTGGTAAACAAAGGCTGCAATGACCTGCGGCGCGCATGTCAGGCGATGTGGACGTAATCTGCCAGTCATACGGCACCCACTTCAACACACCCATTCCGGCTTCACCGAATTTGTGTGCGGCGTACGCAATACAAGGCAGTGTGAAAAAGGTCACAATCGACGTCCATACGACCCATGGCGTCGACGCGCCCGCTCTGATGGCGAGGACGGCCGCAAGAAACGCATAGAAGGCGTACAACACGGGGGTCAGACCCAGGGCGACCAGGATTTTCCACGTTGCGACCACGTCGCGCGCAGCGACTTTGACGGGTGATCCAGCGAGCGCCGCTATGGGTTGCATATGTGAGTCCCTACCGTCCAGCCATACTGTTGAATTCGCGCACCTGCGGCCTTTCTGCGCGAGATGATTTTAGCAGTAATAAAAAAAAGGGCGCGTTGAGAACAACAGCCGGTAGCGCGAATCCCGCCCACACGAGTAGTAGCCCGACGCGGTACACGAACAGGCCAGCCAGCTTCCAGCTCGCCTTGTGCGCGTGCGGCACCTGATGGTCGCGCAGGCCCAGGTCTTGCAGCCGTCGATTGTACCACAGCACATCTGCACGGAGTTTCCGCACCTTCAACTCGTCTCTGAAGTGCAGATAGCCCTCAAGAAAGCGCCGATTGAGCTCAACTAAGCTCAACGACCTGTCCAAGTGTAAGGTGTTGCCCAGGGTCTCGTACAGTCGCCGTGCGGCCTGGCAGAGCGACGTTTGAGTGAGACATTTGAAGTCAACGACAGAGTGTGTAGATCTACCATGACATTGGTCCCGCCGATAGGCCCAGACGCCGCGCATTCAGTCGACGGTCAAAGCTCTTCAGAGCTCGTTTCTACCCATTTTCGTTACTGTTTGTTCAATGACTGATTCATCGCCGCCGTCGCGACCTGACGTCAGTGAATTGTTAGTTCTCGCATACCGTGTTGGAGACCGAGTACATAGTGTCACTAAACATGGTCGATGAGTATACAGACCTTGCGAAGTGCAGTCGGTGGTGTGCATGCTCGCGCGTGACACATTGTGGTCCGTGATGAGAGCGATTACTGGTCAGCATTGGTACGCTACCCGTTCGACTGCATCGGTGGCACATGCCATCAATCCCGGCTTGGTTATCTAAGTCACCTCGGTAAGGCCCAACACGTGGGCCCGCTCGCTCGCAGGTTCGGATCCTGCACAAGTCACCACGGAGTTTTAGTGGGTAGTCCTTGGACAGCGGAGTCCCACAGTACCCGCCTAATCCGGCAATGGGTCTGCGTAAATGCATTTCTTCGTGGAGGTTAGCCGTACTCCAATGCAGGCCACTGGCCTCTGCACGTGCTATTCGACCGTACCGTCGCGGGCTGACCTTGTCAGTTGCCTTCGGTCGTTGTGTCCCTCAACAACAACAAAAAAACTCGGGCTTGCGCCCATTTGTCAAATCATAATGATGACCTCCGCACATGGTGGCTGACCTTTTCCTACGAGTTAAACTTGACAGCAGTACTCGCTCACTCTGAGGCACTAACTCTATGCACGAGCTAAATTAGTTCTTTCACATCTTGCTTGAAGTTTGTGCCAGGGAAGGGGCATCTGTTTTTTTAGTAGTTGTATTTTGTGGATTTCTTCCATACTTTCTCGCTCTCTCAGAACCGTGTCGTATTCCTTCACTTGGTAGTAGATATGGGCCCTATATGCCCATGAACCAACCTTCACGCAAGCAGTATGAGTTCCCCATTCAATCCCGAACGTCATCTTGTTTCTTGCAACACGGAATTACAATTTGAGCGTCGTCCAACTCGTGTTTCTTTTCTCATCGCATTCTACTCGTCAAGCATCGTGGACGACGGGCCATAGGTATACAATGAAGAGAAGCGAAGGCAAGCGAAATAAATGCCCAGTATCATTACGTAACAATGACGATCCGCCAGCAGCAGTTTCTTCAGCGCTCTTCCACAACTGATTCTACGACGGGTCGTGTAATCGGTCCGTCTAGTAATAAGGGTCAGTATATTCACCGCACCCTCCTATATACGGGAAAAGCGTTCGGCGACTTCAACGCTTGTGGTTGAGCTGTTTACGCCGATGTTCTTCAGTCTTGCTCACAAGGGACTGAGAACCATCTCGCAATTGCTCCCACACTACTCTCCATTTCACTCCTACTCCCCGGAATCACGCATCATGGCCCCGGTCAACTATCAGGAAATCTCGCAGCAGGTCTACGGGCTGGCAGCGTCGAATGAATCGCTTGCGCCGCTGGTCAGGGAAGCGCTGCAGGCCATTGACGAAGCTCTCGACACGTTCGGGTGAGTGCAGGTCGCTCCGGATCGGTTGCGTGCAGAAGCGTGACACCCTGTGAAGAATAGAGCATGTCTCGCTCAGCTTCAACGGGGGCAAGGACTGCGAGTACCCTCCCGTTCGCACTCTGCTTCCTGTTGATCATGTTCACCCCGCAGGCACTGTGCTCCTCCACCTATTCGCCGCGTCTCTCGGTCGCCGAGGAGCCACCTCAAGACCAATTCCTGCCGTGTGCATTCCGGTCCCTTCACCGTTTCCCCAACTCGAGGCTTTCATAGACGAAGCCGCCAAGGCATACAGCCTCGACCTCTTCCACTGTCCCCTGCCAGAACCAGAACAGCCTGTAGAGACTGTAACCGCGCCCGCGACACCGTCACCATCGACACCGAATGGCAACAGTAGAGGGTACGTAGGGCCGCGGATGAAGGCGAAGGGGGGCGAGGGCATGAAACAAGCGTTGGAAATATACAAGGCACGTTTTTCTCATGTAGATGCCATTCTCATTGGAACAAGAAGGGGAGATCCGCATGGAGGTATGTGCACGCTTCAAATGTCTCGAATTGTTAGCACCTAAATACCTGTTCCAGCTGCGCTGACATTCCGGAATCCAACGGATCCCGGTTGGCCAGCCTTCGAGCGAATAAACCCTATCATCAATTGGTCGTATTCGGCGGTCTGGGAGTATCTCAGGAAATTCAAGGTGCCATATTGCAGCCTGTATGATGACGGGTACGCACCTTCGTCACCAGGCGATCCGCGCCCTAAATCTTTCGTGCAGGTATACATCCCTAGGATCGACATATAACACGTTCCGCAACCCAGCGCTCCTCGTGCAGCCATGTTGCGGGAAGTGCACCGCGAACCAAGCAGTGTCATCCAGACTCGACGTCGGTCTGTCGGGACACCTCATAGCCAACGCCCTTTCCACGTCCTCACTGATAGACCTCGACAACATCAAGCCACACGCGTCCTCATCATCGCCGACGCCGCTATCCCTCACGGACGGCTCCCTCCAGTCGCTCCCGGACAACTTCGAGGTCATCCCGACCGACCCGCGCAGCGTGTGCGTCGCGGACGCGACGGGCTGCGACCCGCTCCCCGACAACCTCGAGCTCATCCGCGGGGACCCCAACTTCGCGTGCCACGCGGACGCGACGGGGTTCCCTGCGCTGCCCGACCGCCTCGAGTGGCTCACGGGCGGCGACACGCACGCGCAGTGCATTGCGGACGGGTGCAGCTGCGAGCCGCGCTACCGCCCCGCGTATGAGCTCGTGGACGGCAGTCTGGAGAGGGCCGGGCGCGCGACCGGCGCGGCGGGGCTGAAGCTTCGCGAATGACCGGCGACACGGGCGCATGGGCGCATGGGCGGGATAATGGGCGTTGCGTAATCAATTCTTGAGTACTGGGGAGGAGGGAGTCGACGCTTCGCTGTGAATCCCTAAGCAACTGGATGTATCGTTATGCTGTTGTACTACAAATGAACTCGGAGTGTATACTACTGTCTGGTGTCCGACATGCGCTTGAAGACCGGACTGGAAACCTCTAGCTTGACGCTGTAAGACTCTTCATGCCGGGGTACCTGGTATACACTTCATGGTCCTCACGTGTGAAGGTGGCGGCATGCATGCACCTGCAGGCATTTTCCTCGCAATAATACAAAGTAACAAACAAAATACAGCATCGTCGATCAGTCGCCGCCGTGTGAACTCGCCACATCGCTAGTGGCATCCTGCTCTCGGTCGCGTGCTTCGGGCGACTCGCGATCTGCACTGCCCGGTGCAGCCTTTTGCTTTTCCGCGGCGCGCTGAGAGGTCGCCTCCGGTGGGTTTTCTTTGGCTTTCGCGGCCTGCGCCTTCTTCCACGCATGAGCCATCTGGAGGAATTGGAATGACGTCGGGTTGGACTCCTTCTCGTCATCTGGGAACACCATGTCCCAGTCGAGTACTTGAGAGATACATCAGTATCAGAAGACCTGGTGATGTGGGACATGGCATAGCGTACCTGCTTCATTGCCCTCCATGACGCGACGACGGCTGACGAGAGGCATCTTACCCTGCACCTTCTGAATGTCGTCGGACGAGCCATTCTTCTCCTCGAACGCCTTCCAGACTTCCAGAAGCGCAGCACGCTGGCGAGACGTAGGCGGTCAGCCAACAGATACCCAGATTCATTCTGCCATCGACATACCTCGTTCTTCAGCCCTTGTCGGCGGAGATCGTTGTAGCCGCGCTCAAACACCTGTCTTGCGCGCTCCACGTCGCCCGGGACCATCTCCACCTCCTCGTCCTCGTCCTCTTTCTCCTCTCGGAGCGCACGCGCGAGGGGAATTTCGCCGGCCTCGAACTCGGCATACGAGATCCACACCTTCCAATGTCCGCTGAGGGCGATGAGACGTTCGTACAGCGTGCGGGTGCCCTCGCGGCTGCCCTCTTCTGTCTCGAAGTCGATGTACGCCTTCCAGAGCACCTCGGGCATCGCGAGCGGCTGCTGTGTCGTGCCGAGCTCGAAGATCGCGCGGGTACGTTCGAAGTCCTCCAGCTGCGCCTCGAGCTCCGCGTACTTGACCCAAGCGGACGAGTTGCTCGGGTCGAACTGTCAATAGTGTCAAGAGGCCGCCAACACGGGCCAGACCAGCACTTACCTCAATGTACTTCTCGTAGAGCGTCCGAACACGGTCAAACTCGCGCAGCTAAAGGAGCGCTTGAGCAACCCAACCGGATGCTATTTGATAGATGAACTTACATCTAACTCCAGCTGGATATACCCTTTGAACAGCGCTTCCTTGGGGCACATGCCGATGGCGACTCCCAGGATCTTCCGCGCTGCAGGTAGATCGAATCTACGTAGCTCAAACTTCGCAAACATAAGCCACAGCTTGGCAAATGTGAACTGCTTATGTGGTACGACCCGGATAGCAGTCTGATACACCTGCCGTGCGCGATCATAGTCCTGCAGCACGTCATGAGCACTTGGTGGTATTTGAGAAGCAAGGCGACACACCTTAGTTTCAATCTCCTCGAATAACGCATAATTTAGCCACAAGAAGATGTACCGCCGCCAGTGGCGTTTCTGCCCACCAGGCGGGACATGTGCGACGGCGCGCTCATAGACCTCCCGCACCCGCCCTATTGCAGCCTCGATCTCTTCAGGCGTCGCGCCTTCATCTTGAATATCTCGTAGCGCGCCTTCCTCTAAGCGCGAGTAGTCGAACCAGGCGTCGTAGTTGTGTCCGTCTTGTGTAAGTTCGTCCTCATATTGGATGCGCCGCTTGCCAAGTACAGTAGACTCAAGGGTGGAACGTGTGCCGAATTGCTTCTCGAACTTGGTGTATGAGGCGTATAGGTTCGCTGATTTTGACCGCGGTATGCGAGACAAGGCGAACTGCGTGTCGTGAGCTGAGTTGTGGCACATGCACAAGTAAAGGACGCACCTTGTAAATAACCCGCGCACGCTCGTATTCCTTTAAGCGGGTCTCCATCTTGGCGAACGCACCAAACACCGCCTGTGCCTTCTCTACCTCCTCCTCGCCGTCCCCAAAGAACTCCAACGCTGTCTGGAAGACCTCCCGCGCCTTGTCCAGCCGCGTGCGCTCCTCCTCATACTTCGCCCACTTCACCCAGTTTCTCGGTTCAGGTCGTACAGCGATCCACCGCTCGTATATCGCACTTGCACGGTCAAGTTCGTTATACCGCATCTCCATCTTGATGTATGCCTGCCACGCCTTGTCTTCCGGCTCCCACTGCATCCACCGCTCGAACACCTGCCGCGCGCCTGGCACGTTCTGGAGCAGCTCCTCCAGGTAGACGTACTTATACCACAGCTGGTCGACGCGCGGAAGTAGCGTCACCGCGCGGTCAAACAGGTTGCGTGCGTGCTGGACATTGCGGCCCTTGAGTTCCATCTCAGTGTAGCTCAGCCATAGCTGCACGCTCCGCGGGTCAACGTCCAGAGCACGCTCGAAGACCGACCGCGAGCGAGCATATTCCCCTTGGCTAGCCTGTTGTGGTGTTGGGACATGAGGCCATAAGTGGTCAAGAGACGACTACGTACCTCCCAATTCGCATACTGGAGCCACTCTTTGCTACGGACGGAGCAATGAGATTGACACCACAATTGAGAGCGCAGCGCTCACATATTACTCCTCGTCTGTCGTATACGCTTCTCAAATTCCTCCCGTTTCCGCCCGCGATACTCGTGGAGTTCTTCAAAGTCTTCAACCCGTTGCTTCGGGGCACGAAACTGGGACTCCTGACGTTCCTGGGCCTGCAAACTAGCTGTCAGAAGTCAGATGATGCGCATAGGATTGGATACTTACATCTCGCAGCAGTTGCTCTGCGGTGACCTGTACCACTGTTAGTATTATTGAAGCCCGGCTGAAGGTGCGTTTTACACACCTGGATCGCCGCAGGTGCACGATTTTTGATTCTTCAACAATGCTCAAATCATTGTCTTCCGTTAGCAGCAACTAAGGGGCTTACCGAGGTGCTCGCCCGTCCTGCATAGTAGCAGATATGAGCCTAGAGTGCTAGTTCTTGCAGCAGGGGATAAGGAGGAGGTCAAGAACGGAGGCGCCCACAAGGGTCGTGACTTCACTAGAACGGGCAGACGCGTCTATTGCTGTCTCTTGTCTCTCACTGACTGACCGGGGCTGTTCCTCAAATTGTCATACATCCAACTTGTTCACTGACTGCTGCTTTATTACACGCTGAGGCGACCTATGCTAACCAGGGAGATAATAATAATTTTCTGGCCGACTCAACTCAAACTCTCCAAAGTGACTCATGTATACTCCTGTGGATGGCCTTTGCTATACTTTCATTACTCCGTTCAATACTGTAGTGGCATTCTTCGGCGAAATTGTGTGGCAAGTCCACTTTCACGCTACTCTTGGTTAAAGTCCTCAGCGATGTTTTCCCTGATCTTACTGGAATGTGACATGTCGTGCTCAGTTGAGTGAGCTTGCGCAGAACATCTGGATGATCCACGAATGCAGATTATGGTCAGACCGAAGCCGATGGAATGGACGCCCTTGATATTGGAATTTTCCTTGTTTGATCAGTCAGTCGATCATCGATCCGAGGAGTGCAGCGGTGACCTGAGCACTACATGAAGAACAGCATGGGGACAAATAACGCGAGGAGTGAGCGGTGCTTGCTTTGAGGCGAACCGTTGTCTTTGGTGAAGGATAGTAGGTAATGTGCATATTCGACGCTCTTGTGTTATCGACGATGCCGAGTGGACCAAACAACAAGGGGGCTCGTGGCAATGAGGACGACACGGGCTGCGAGACTACACGTCCACAAACGGACGACTCACCTAAAATCGAGAAAACGAGCAAGGAATCCGCTCAGATGTGGGCAACTTCTTATGAAAGGCTGAATGTCTAGATGTTATGTAGATACTGTATTATTGGATTTCCTTCCTTGCGTCTATGAATACTGACCTTTGCAGGCCCCTGGAGTGCATACTTAGATGGCTTGGCAGTGTTAGGGTAAGTGCATGAGACTGCGCTCATGAGAGCATCACGGTAGTCCTCGAGTGGGTAGCATGTCTTCAAAGGCGAGCAGCCGACCGTGGTCTCTAGGGCTGACCTCACAGCCTCGAGAGCACTCATAGCTGAACAATTCGCTCCCCATACGAAGGGCGATCCCCTAAATTTCCCTGTCAGGGACAGAACCAGGAGTTAAAGGCAACAGTGATGGCCTTTCCAGTAACCTTCGCTAGGGACACTAACAAGATGCCAACGATGACGCACATCTATAGGTTAGTATAGAGGTATTGCTTGCCACGGAGGTCTCCGACAGCCCCAACTTTGACTATGAATGGAACGTGCGTGCTGTGTAGTGGGCGTGGAGATTCTCTGTCGCAGGTAATCGGAAGTAATGAGGCGCGAGTTGTCTTGATGAGGGGTAATTGGACATCAAGCTGTATATGGGCAATCTTTGATACCCTACGCATGCCAGTGTCGTGCCAAAGAATGTGGGGGCTCATGTATGCTTCAAACTATCGTATCACACGCTCGACCGCTGTGTGTGCTTGCGTTAGTCTGCTCGTGCGCTACGATACATCTATGGCAATGAAATTCTGTCAACATTGGGTTCCGAACACGCTGAACACTCACTAAAATACTTGCCGAAAGCAACCTGGCTTACGCCAGATAGATCACACTCAACGACGATAGGCAGTTACCCCCAGACTGATCCGACAGTAGCCGTATCTTACACCAAAGGTAATAAACGGTCCATAGCGCAAGCGTCGCACTCTCAATTTACAAATTCAATACCTCAGTGTCAGATAGTTGTACCAGATGTCTGAGCAGTTTCCCAAGGCTTCTTGCGCACAGCTGCTCTCGTTTCACTCGGCGCTGATTGCTTTGAGACATTGGCGGTCAACAAACATCACTTATGCACGTCTGAAATCTGATAATGCTTACATTGAGCTCGTTAGAGATGGTCCGGTTATTGGGAATCTCGTCCGTTCTCCCTTGCTCGATCAGAGTCTTGAGTTCCGCGAAGCTCAATATCCGCATCTCGCGGTCATCTCCCGTAGCATTCGCATTCGTGGATGATGCCGTAGAACCCACCACAGGGTCCAATGTATGCAGTGCTGCGGACGTGCCGTTCGCCGCCGGCATGGCCTGGGTCTGTAGTACATCTTCTGCGGTGATAGAATGTCCGGTCAAGCTGCAGCGGTCGATGAGCAACAAACTCACATTCCTATGAGAAAGCGAGCGTACCGATTGAAGTAGAACACCTGAGAGCGGAGCACGATGTCCGCCCGTTCCTCTCTTGACTTTCCATCTAGTGCATCGCTCTGTAGGATCCCAGATAGACCTTGCTTGCAGATCCCATCTGGTAAGTGTTCAATGCACAGTCCTTGCGCTGCATACGCACTTGATAAACACTGTCGTGGTCGAAATCATAGGCCATGAATTGCCGAAGTGGGATCTCAGAAGAGGCTTCGGCTTGGGCCTCCATCGACGTCTCGCAGATCGACAAGATGAGGCTCAGGGGGAAAATGATGTATAAATGCGTTCGCAAAGCAGAGAAATCTGCGGGAACAATTTGAACGCGCTGCAGGCAATGCTCGCAGGAGACAAGCTGGCAGCGAGAGAAAACTAGAAGGCGCCAAGCGCTCTCGCGACTACTACCACTACCACTGCCACCGCCTGTGAGCCGAGCTTTCGACCTGACTTCAAACTCGTTGAGTACGCTTGGATGTCGCATGTAAACAAGATCACTGCAGAACGCAGCCAGCGAGCCCTTCTCGAGCTCGTGAACCAACCGGGAAACGGCGAGCAGTCCCGGTGAACATGTAAGTTCACCTACTCATCCCTAGTGTGGTTTGCAGATGTTTGCGCGGACTGCAAGGCGCGGAATCCTCGGTGGGCATCTCATAATCTCGGCATCTTCATCTGGTATGTCGCAGAACCCTTTTTCATACGGACAGTGGTAGCGAGCTGACGGTATTGGCTGTAGCATGAACTGTGCAAGTATCCATCGTAAGATGGGCACGCACATATCCAAAGTGTGCGTTGCATGTACGCTGTTCGGCTGCTAGAATCTAATGCATGAACCTGTAGGAAGAGCTTGACCATGGATACTTGGGCGAAGGAGCAAGTCGAGGTGCGTTTGCATAACTAGATCAGTGCTCCTTGATGACCTATCATATGATAGGTGATGAGAAACACTGGAAACGTCAAGTCAAATGCTCACTACAACCCTGATGAAACGCGTCACCCGCCGCCAACTAACATGATTGACTCGGAGAGAGACAGTGACCTAGAAAAGTACATTCGCTGTGCGTGCACATTCTAATATACCAGACGCTGTCTGATATATGTTGCTCTGCTGACCCCAATTGCAGCGAAGTACGAGTTCAAATCGTTCATCAGCCGATCTGCACAAGTCGCAGCTATAATGGGCCCGTCGCGATCAGCCTCCAGCAAGCTCTTGTCCACAACCCCACCCGCGCGAGCGCAAACCGCGCCTGTGCAGAACCCCCCGCCAGTGGAGTCGACCCCAAACATACCGCCGCCCGTTCCACCGAAGGTACCGTCCTCAACAACGCCATCCCCTGCCAGCGCCGTCAGTCCCTCTGTGTCGGGATCGCAGTCACAGTTCAGGTCGGCCTCTCAGCCGGTACCGAGCTCGACACTATATACACAACCACAACAGCCGTTCGCCGCACAGGCGCAGCCACAACTGGCACCTACCAACAATACATGGAACAACCTAGTGTCTCTACAGTCGCCATCCACCAATACCTCCAGTCTACCGCTTCAATACACGTCCTCGCTTCCCTCCGCGTCGACTTCTCAGCCCATCCAGATCTCAGCTAATCCAGCAGGCACTCACCTCTCTCCAACTATGAATCCATATAGTAGCCTCTCGGCAAGCCCGAGCTCTCCCTTCCCCTCTTCATTAGCAACGAATCAGACGACGGGATCTTCGCCTGGCGGCGTGGGGCGTAGCATGAGTCTCAATACCGGTCTAAATCTCTCTGGTACCAGCGTGGGCACCAACTCCAGCATCTCACACTCACCATTTGCCACTGCCCCCACCGGCCTCGGCTTCGCGCCTATGGGCATGCCACAGACGAACACAATGCCGAGCTCCAATCCATTCGCGGCGCAGTCCCATCCAACAGGAACAGGAGGTAGCATCGGTGGCGGGCCGGGGGTGGGCTACATGGGCTCATCGTATAATATGCAACCCCAACAGCCATCTTTGGCACCGTTCACCACGAACTCTTTCCAGCAGCAGCAACATCAGCAACACCAGCAGCAGCAGTTTCAGCAGCAGCAATTTCAGCAACAACAATTCCAACAACAACAATTCCAACAACAACATCTCCAGCAGCAGCAACTCCAGCAGCAACTCCAGCCTTCACCATTTGGCCAGCAAGCGTCGTTCCAGCCCCAGCCGTCGCCGTCGCCCATGTTTCAGACACAGGCGCTACCGCATACACATATGCAAATGCAAATGCCGACGGGCACGAACCCGTTTCTGCTACAGCAGCAGGCGCAGGTGCACACGCCGTTCGGGCAGCCTCAGGCGACGCCGCCGCCACAAGCATTCACCGGTGGAAATCCGTTCGCAGGCTGGCAGGGACAACAGAGCGGGTTTGCGGGGCACCAGTGGTCGGGTATGTGATATGAGATGCATTGGACTCTCGTCGAGACACCTGGATAGAGTGTGTCTACCTTTATGCCTCGGCTAATGCGCGGATGAGGCGTCATTCGGATGACTGGATGCCTACAGTGTCGAACGAGTCTTACGGGAGAACAAACCTTTCTCAAATCATGTGAGCACTGGAGTCTCAGTGTCGGGCAGCATACCCGGGCAGCCGAACAACTTAGCGAATGGTGGGGATGCTAGAGCCCAGTTCCAGGTAGGATTACGATCGCGTTGCTCCTGGGGTCTCTGACCTGCTCACTGGGAATGCAGAACATAGTCAATAACAAATGTACGAATCAAAGTCTTTGAAAATACGAAATAAAAATACAGAGTAAAGAACGCGAATCTCTAGCGTTAACAGTTACAGGCTCTACTCGGCAGGACGCGAGTTTATAGACTTGTGTCCGCGAGAGGTGCTGTTACCAGCAACATAGTCGAGTCCAATTGTGTTTATCACTTTGGCGTCGACATTGAGGGTACGTCTGGTCTTCGCTCGATTTGAGACCTCCTTCTCGTCGTCATACTGTGCGCGTTCGATAACTGGCCTGCTTGGTATCGTGGCTTCTTCGCGGTCGTCGAGTCGTCGAGTGGTGGGTGCCCACTCACGGGGCTCGGCGAGCTCTCCGTCCCTCCTCGTTTCGCGACCGTAGGTAGAACCTCTTTGTCGCTGCGTGCCCGTTTACGACTCCACCTATCTGGCCTCATCACTCCTTCAGCCTCATTTAGCGGGCGAGCGTCGAGTATGCAGATCGACCGCTGGAAGCTGCCGCCCTAGTGGCGGCTTGTCTCGAGACGGGCTGGGGGCACCGCGAACACGGGATGACGTCGTGTCGGTCACGACTGGGTGTGCCTCTCTGCGCAATGCATGCTCGAAATGACTGTCTCGTCCCTAACGATGAGGCGAGGAGTCTCGAGTGGTTGAGCTGCGGCTTCGGGATACGATATTGCGAGCTCGTTCTCTGGCCATCTGTGCTGGCCAGGGCTTCATCGGACTTGGTCAATACAGCTTCGCGTATGTACCGTACACCTCTCCGGTCGCCAGAAATTTTCCAGGTACAGGCTGATTACCCGGTACCAAAATAGGTAGGTTCTTCAAGGGGATACACAACTGGTCAAAATTATCGGTAGGTTCAATGTATCTGACCTTTCCCCTTTCCAGCGCAGTCGACGTGCATGTCATCGCAATCAGCCATGAGGAAAGATACGCTTCTATCCCTAGCTGTCTCGTCTATCAAGTCTTCGCCGGACACATTGCTTCTCGATTCCAAGTCATATCGTAGCGCCTACATCATGCGAGCGTACTTCTTCCAGCTTTCGATGCTGATCTCCAGATAAATTACTGCCGGGAACTCATTCCAGTTGAAAAGGATATCGAAATCGGCTGTATATTTCTTGAATAGCGCCCCTTCCGGTGCGATCATGACATTGCCTTCGCCGATGTTCTGGTGCAGGATACTCTCGTAAGCCAGTCTGTGTCCTGCATAGGTCTATACTAACAAACGCAGGGAGAGAGACTCCAATACGTATCCTTGGTGACGTGACGCAATACCTTTACCAACTCTCGCGTCGACTGACTTTCGAGATCACTCTACCCACCGTCTTGAACACTCAGTGCCTACAACACTCATTCAGATCGGGCAGCAGATAATCGTCGTTTTCTCGTGTGTCTCGTGGCTGCGAGTCATGCAAGACCCTATCCGTCGCGTTTTGACTATGTTCCCTTACTAAATCTAGCATCGTCGTTGTCAATGACTAACAATAGCAGCATCCTTACATCATTGCGGCTCATCTTGCCTTTGGACAATTAGATGATGTGTCGGGCTGCTCTGACCAAATCGCTCATCGTCTAGCTAGGTCCGAAACTCTGTCTTGATTCTATTTTTCCGGGGATCTACCAGCGGACATGAAGGCTTGCCGGTGGCTCCTTCAAACCAAGCATGCCGCTGCGCCGAGGTGCCCTGCTATGATATGCGGCGTGCGGGTGCCCGTAAGCTCATGCTCTTCCTCATGCTCGCCCAACGCTATCACTGACCATGTTACCCTCAGAACCGCGTTCATAATTTGAAAGCAATGTCTTTCTCAATTGTCAATAAGACTTAATAAGTTTTGATATTGCAGCTAGAGCTCATATAGTGCCGCACGAGACGAGACGAAGGTGCGCACGAGTACCCCGGTCACTGATTTTGGTGATTCGGCATAGCAGGACCTAGGGCTTGACGACATCCGTTCGTTGTGTCGGACCCAAATGGCTAGTGCACCCAAAGCTGCCGCGGAATTGTCTTCGACGAGGGTTGTCCATTGAAAACGATCAGCTTGAGGGGCAGGAGAGCGTTAGTTGAGGTGCCTCCTCGTCAGCTCGCATTGGCAGATCTCAAGCCTCCTGATTGGATAAATGTTCGAGGAAGATCCGGACTCTGAGTCTTCCCTGCCGACCCTTGCACCTTGAGTGACTTGGAATAGCAGGCCCAACGCGCCGCTTTCACTTCATTGCTATAGGGCCGGTGCGCGGCACTGGAGCTTCACAAACTCTTCATCGAAGACGAGCCTTATGAAGCCTATTCTGGAGGAGCGTTGTGAAAATGGATGATGTTCTGGTCGCTAGAGAACGGCAGGATGCAGAGCTGAATCATCAAGGCTATCGTGTGTATCAGCACGAGGTCACAGTGCGTTGTATATATTTTGACTTCTATGTGCTACTGATTGCGGGTCCTGAGTTCCTTGGGGCGACTAGACGTGAGCAGATACTCCACAGGTCACGCCTGCCACCATTCTTTAGCGATACATAAAACACTAGACTCGACTTGCAGATCGCCGCTATTCTTGCAGCGTTTCCAAACACAATTGCATGACGTACCATGGCTCGGGCCACTCTTGGTGCTACACAGTCGCAGCAGTCCTCTGCAACTACTCGCTATGACAGAGGCACGCCCAATTGTGAGAATTTAGCTTCAGTTTTCATAAGAACATGGTTAATTGTGCTGCCATAGATCCAAAGCAGAAGCAAGGCGGGACTTCAAGACAGCACGCCAAAGCTCCTCACGCTGACAAATCCGACAGGCGAGATGGTAATGTCGCGATACTACAATCGCATACGAAAGAGACTTACGGCGATTGCAGCCGCTGCCAACTTGAAGGACGCTGACCCAGGGGATGACTCAGACAGCGAGTCGGTTTATGGGTCCGCTAATAGCAGCCAGCAGACACTCAGCACGTCGAGTATAAACTTTGACAGTCGTTCGTGAGTTCTCCACCTTCTGCCAAGCATTTACAATATTTCACCGTATGACCTCGAAGCTATACTTCCACAAGCCATGGGCCCAATAATTCCACGCGCAAACGCAGCAAAGTTGACAGACAGCACGCACACCGTCGTGTCTCGACTAGGCGGAAGCGCCAAGAGTCAACTCACGGCACTCAGTGTTCTTGTCACGAGTCTTTGGACCATGGGCCGAGTGGACACAACTCAATTTCCTCTCATAATACATCCGAGCAGCTCGTTTCGAGTGATGGAGTACGCCCAAGACAAGCTATCAGGCTCATCGCCGAGCATACTTTTCGAGAACTTTTAGCGTGCAGCGAGCTCTTCGGAAGTTGGAGCGAAGAAATTGGGGCGTAAGTACGTCTCACGATGACGAACAAACCCACATTCATTCATAGTACCTGCAGGTTACCGCAGGATGGTACAACACGTCCGCTGCTAGACGCCGTTAACCAGGTGCGGTTGTTGTCCGACGAAGCATCGAGGAATTCCCGTCGGATTATAGAAGAACACAGCAAGTTGGCTGGAATGATGGCCGCACGCCTGGAGGAGGCAAAGAGGACAGGCGTCTTGGGGCGCAACGATGACATCACATCTACCGGGGAGGGAATTTGTCAAAGTTCAGCGGCACTTTGCACGAAGATGCAGTGCTTACGAGACAGACTGCAGAATCTATCACAGGTGATCGAGGACATTCAACGACGAAACAGCAAACAACACGTGTCCTGGTGGGGCAGGATATGCCGCTGGATCCCAAATGTCCTCCGAGCAGTCAAGAGCATATTTACGACTATTAAGAAGGCCTTGAGAAACCTCCGAGGCAGTCCCTTGCCTCCTTCGGACGTTGCCGAAATCGTCAAGAGATATGACGCATATGACACTGGTGCGTCTGCTTCTTGTTTTCCTGTAGCGCGATTTATGAGGGTGATATCATCAGGGAACATTGAAGAAACACAGCAGCTGAGTAACCTACGCCACTTTCTCGAGGAGCTTTCAGCGAAGATCTTGCAAGTGGAGGACAATTTGCAGGAGATTCAAACCGGCCAATCTTCGTTACATTTATTTGTGGAAGCGGAGACATCACAGCTCATCATTGACGTGAAATCTGCGTCACTTGCTTCCAGTCAATGGCGCCGTCTGGAACGTGATCTGAAAACAATAGCTGGCCGAGATTAGCCGCAAGGCGAGAGCGATGTATTGAGACCGTCGCCTTATATAACAATACGACTGAGATCTTTTTACTGTACATGCGTCGCCCTTGTCTCTCGTCAATAGTTTTATACCGATCTTATGCCGGTTTGATTGATTGCACGGTACGATGTGCTATAAATACAAGTTGCTTGTTGGAAATACTGGATGCCTTCCCGCAGGGGTCTGGACGCGATTGCAGAAACAGACATATAGACGCTGGGGCTAGTCCATCTGGCAAGGGTAAAGGCAAGGCGCTGTCTTCAGAGCACCTCACCTCCGTCGACCTGGGCATTGATGCGGACGAGGAGGAACAGGAGCAAGCCATTGCCAGGCATCGGCAAGAGATTCGAGGCATCGGCAGCAGTGGGAGCGTCCGCTGACGCCTCCAAGCTACTGGGAGATTGGATTCCCTGATACGCAGGAGACCAGTGCGATCAAGGAGCGGAAATGGGCAAGGATCGAGGCCGAAGCAAGGTGCGTGCTATGCCGTAGTTTGTAATGTCTGTCTGTCTGACGATAGGGTCACTGCAGTCGTGGAGGGCGCTACAAGAAGCGTTGATTCCCTCTCTGGAATGTCTCTCGCGTTGACTCACATATCAGAATAGTAGGTAACGCAGCTGGTAGGTACCATACTTAATATCGCGCTTTCATCCTCGGAATTCCATGCGCTGTATGGTTCATTCTCAGTCTTGACACAATGTATATGCGAATGCAGAGAACCCACGCGAACAGAGTTGTGTATGTCAGAGCTTTGCGAAACGATTGCAATGTCGCCAACGTACGCTCCAGACAACAAGCTTGTAAATAGAAGTGTCACAACTATTTAATGCCATATTTCTTCTTGACGGCGAGACCCACGCTCCTCTCAATAAACCACCGTCCACTCGCCTCTTCAATTTCAAAGAACTTCAATATCGAGAGCAGTTCGTCATATTGTGCCCTTGTGGGAGGCGAACGGACACCTCGCTCGTAGCACGATATCACCAAGACGGCATCAAAGACGCTATCCTTGAGTGCCGGGTCCACGTCGTAGTCTGCATACGCACACCTGACTCTAATGGCCTCGATGTCGGTCAACTGCTCCAGCTTGAGGGCAAGTGCGCCTCTACAGGCAGCTAGTGATGTTCACAATCGGGCTTTGAAGCCCAAGCCCGCCGAACCCTGCTTGGCTGAGGCGCATATAGCTCAACACAAGTCCTCAAAAGACCTCCGAGAGGCCACAGAGCTTAGTGTGCAGCCCTGGATTGACTATGAAGCCAGGCCCGGTGGCCAAAAGTGCGGCACAAAGTAGGGCTTTGGGCCCGAGCCGGGCCCTGAACAACACTACAGGCAGCCTTCTGAGCCCAATGAAGGTCCTTATGGGTCAAGGGACTGCGATCTATACGAAGGTCGATGTCGGCAACTTGGTCGAAGGTGACAAGCCAGCCGAAGAATTGAGACTCCACGGCGTAGTGCTCATTAATGCGGACAAATGTGTGAGGTGGTAAGGGTGAACGCGACGAGGTGGTGGTGCGCGATCTTCGCTTCTTGTAGGAACTCTCCGTCAGCCAAGATGTGATGTTCACAGTTTATGAGGCGGCGACACATACCTCCTGCTGTTTGAGTGTGAGGAGTGACTCAGACTCGGCCATGACTATAATACGAGCTATGGTGTGACACGGTTGGTCCACTGTCACGCACAAACAACTGTGACATATGATCACATATTCGTTTACAAGTTGAAGAAGCCGCTGCCGTCCCTGGCTCTAGACTTTAAGCCGTGAGCAAGTTGCTCCTTATTCCATATCCCCATTCAGAAGAGTGACAGATCTAGGAAAAGAGAGACCACAACATCATCACGAAATATGGGTGTATTTCCATCAAGTCGAATCCATTTTTGCTAGTCTGACAAAACCCACTACTAGTGAGCGAGTACAACCTACATTTGCCAAGCGCGTATGTATACATGCAACTTCAAGTGCGTGGGTGGCCCTCACATTGAATTCGCCGGACCTTGGAAGCCTTACCCTAAAGAATATGTCATCACATCGAATGGAACTGTGCAAGGTGCTTCGAATGATTATCAAAGGCAATTATGTCCTCTTTGCTCCTCATGTATGCCTACGTGTGTGCCCTCAGACACAAACAATCGTGGGTTTCTACGGAGTAAGCCGGCTCTAGATCTCTAAAAGCTCGCGGTCCTCTGCAGGCATTATCGGCTGTCCCTGCTGCCATGTTGATGCCACTTCCTCCAGAGACAACAGACAGAATCATAGACTTCCTCTGGGATGACCAAGCATCCCTGAGCAGCTGCACTCGCGTCGCTCGATCATGGTATGCAGCCAGTCGTTTTCATTTTTTCGAGCGAGTCCAATTACAAAGTCGCACGGCTTTCAATTGTCTACGCACCGGCGTGGCGCAGTCACCGCTTCTCAGCACACGAGCATATCTGAAGGGCACTCTACAGTTGACCATCGTCGAAGGTCCTGACGACAGAACGCGTTATGCGAACAATGTCCCACTAGTGCTGGGCCCGCTGATGCCGTCGCTCCGTTCGCTTTCATTCACAAGATGCGAATGGTGCACGCGCAGTCCTCTTCATCCCACTGCCACGCAGACTATCGCACTGTTCGTCCTTGTCACCCGGCTCGAATTGACCAGCTGCACATTCCAGCACTACGGTGATTTTCAGCGGTTCGTCTGTGCCCTTCCCCAACTCACGGAGCTTGTCCTGGACGGCATTGTTTCGAAAGGGGGTCAGTATTCCCTGCCCAGCAGTCAGGCGACAGGAAGCGAGCTGCGACTGACGACTCTTCATGTCCTCTCGATGACATCGGGAGAAATGCAGAAGTTGTTCACTTGGATCCAGGCGACGCCTTCTGTTCAACAGCAGACACTGTACGACCTTTGCATTAGGCCATCTATTCGAGCCCACTCGGACTGGCACGTGTCCCTAGATTTGATTCTGCGCGATGTCGGTGGATCGCTGCGACAAGCAGATATTCCTGTGATTTATGACGGCAAGTCGCCGCTCTTAACACAGACGTTTATACAAAGCAGCTGATACTATCTACTCATTGTACAGGCGTAGATTCCTGTCTCAACTTCAACACAGGGTTGAGTTCGCTTACGCTATTCTACGACTTAGGAGAAGCTATGGACATTGCCGCACCAAGAATAGCCAACATAGTGAACTCCATCTCCGCGCATTCCATTCATCATTTTTCATTCAAGTTCCGCTGCTCCCTCGACCCTATGTGGACCATTGCCAATAAGGCTGAAAATGACATCGCTCAAATGGGACCTCTAGTACAGGGTCTGATGGCGCGCGATGTCTTCGACTCTCTTGAACATGTAGACGTCTATCTCCTCTGGTACATCAATGAAGCGATCAGCCCCTCTGATATAGCCCGATTCCTCAAGGCAGCTGATGAAGCTATGATGAAGACGAATTGGCATGAGCGGGGAATTTTGAAGGTCATGCACGAAATTGAGATGTACAAACCTCCAGCTAACACAAGCGACACCTCGGAAATGTATGCGTCTGTATGCTTGCAGTGTTGGTACGATGTCTAATGCCGCAGCTCTATCACAGGCTGGTGGGGCCTAGCTAGGCAGCTAGAAAGATAAAAACTGATCGTCGCATATCGATGTTACATCATATAGTGCGTGCTTTCATGTCATTGGGACGTCGCTAACAGACTGACATAGATCGTATGTCACAGGTGTGGATCAATGTATATGCGCGCTATGATGCGCGCTCATAGCGACTGTTATATCCTTTCTGACAATTTCGACAATGTCTGGCCGTGTTAGCTATCCTACTACAGTGATCTCACAAAGAAATCTCTGTCCTCAGCAGAACCTGTCAAGTAGAATTGTACATACGCGAGAATCCCTCAAATCGGATGGATTTAAGCTGTATGCGCTAGCGATGCACGCTCAAGCCGTGATTATCGCCGGGGCTGTGAGGTCAGGTGGTACGACATTCAAGAAAAAAAAAGCCTGTACGGCCTTCAGAAAGCCTCTGCTAGTCTGCGTTGACCCCCCCGATCCGCGTTGGGTCATCCCATTCCAGCCCCAATTAATGCCGCTTGCTCCAGGACTCCAGGATCATTGACAGAAGAGCCACCGGACGCTTTCTGAGGCATGTTCTGCACGAGCATTCGGACAATTCGCGTGTCCCAACTGGACTCCTCAATGATGCCATCCATAATTCAGCCATATAATAATTGCATTAACTGCTGTGCTGCTGGGTGTGGATGCCTACGTCTGTGGTGTTCCACTTCTTCTAGGATAACACCAGCCCCACCTTCGTCGCTCAACCGTACAAAAGCTAGCTCGCAGTCAGCGTCGCACGTCCGCGTCGGATCTTCGTCACTGACTGATCGATTCACGCGGACCGCCCAGTCGTCGACAACCATGCGACTGAACTCAAATTCATCACCGCCTGCTCGAAGTATGAGCATCTGGCCATCCAACGAACAGCTAGTAACCCCAGATGAGAAACTCGGTCGCAGAACAGGCCGGCCCTCGAGCGCACAGCTTCCGCCGGTGTCGTCTCAATCTGCCTTATCTGGGCCTTGAGGCCGTCACGCCACTATCCCTTCGTCATCCGCTACTCGTCCAATTGCATTCACGGAATTAGGATATTAGCTCACATTTATGGACGTAGAGTTGGGCTGGCGAACAGACTGGGCAGACGACCCGGGCGACGGGCGTCACACACATACCATCTTCCCATCGCCGCGGCGGTCCTTCATCATCTGCGAGTCCGGCACAAGATCACCAATTTCCATTTGCCAAGTGCGTACGTGTCAGTGAACGGAAACGAAGGGCGGATTGAACCATTAATGCTGAAGCGCTGATTTGCCATTCACTCCAGCCTGAGCGAACTGTTTACGGCAATCAGCGCCGATCAATCTGAACTGCCGCAGGCGCTGGGATCTGTGCTCGGGCCCATCGTGGAATCACTGTGGCCAGTTTGTACAGCGATGTCAGGAGTGTACGTGGAATGTGTTCGACCAGTTCGCGGATGCCTCTGCTCCCAATGATGGTAACACCATCCTTACCATGGAATTGGGGTTTCAGCTGACGGGCATTCCTACATTTCGATCTGTCGCTGTGACTATTTTTCAACTTTGCAGTTCACGAGACGCATCTCAGAGATTCTGGCAGTATGTGGGAGCACTAGGCTTTGTTGTACGTCCTATTATCTTGCTAGCTCAAGGAAGGAAGAATTGATACGCCGAGCTGTTGATTCTTGCAGCTTTCGAGCACGCAATGTAGTCCTAGTGCGCGCAAAATCATCCTTTTCAGTGCCTGAGAGCTTGCCGTTCCAGCCGCAGTAATATGTACCTTTCCTGTTATTGTGACCTTCATGAATGTGACTGCTGTAGGACTTCCAAGGCATCATGGCTGGCGCACAGGCATGTACACGACTCATGGGATGGTCACAGATAATCACATAAGTGTCGTGGAATACAGAATTAATCTCCTGGATCATACATATTCCCATCGCTCCCTCCCCACTGAGACCTTGCCTTGTTAGTAAATAACTCGCGACGCTATATAGCCTCCGAGTAATTCGCAACATTGATTCCCTGAGGGATGGTTATGCGAGAACCAAAAAAGGTGCATATCTTGTTGAAACGCGCAGCCCCGCGTGGTCAGGAACGAGCTCGAAAGCTCGGGCGCGCGAGTAGCCGGGGGCCGGAGGCCCCTATCGTAGTATATAACGACCCCGCGCGATGTACGTACCGCACGCGATTGTCCCTTACGGGCATCGCTACGCTCGTGGACAAACGCGCCCCCGCGCCGTCGCACCGTTTTTCCAACATATCTCAATCCAGATGAAGGACACATGCGTTTTTCTACACTATCTGCGTGCTCAGGGCCAGTAGATTCCGACTCGGAGCGAGTACCTGCCAGTGATAAATCGGAGTTCCTGATACTAGTCGTACTCGTAATGCCTACTATCTTTTCTGTGCTACTATCAAAATATACCATTCATCGAATCAGGACTATAATTTCCTCGCCACACCTGAATTAATCCAGATGGCCTTAGTAAGTTCTCTGGACTATGAGATACGAAGTGCAGGCGCTTATCCGAGTACGGGAATTGATGTCCATATTTAGCCATGACGCCCACAGAGACAAACATTGACTGCTTCCTGGAGTCCAACGCGTGCCTCTGACATAATTGACCTGATTGTTCACGATCCTCAGCCATAGGTAACTATACAGAAAGCTCGTGCGTGGCTCTAGACTTGATAACATTTCAGCGCAAAGCACTCGATGCGATCATTGAGTGTCAATATCGGCCTGAGTGGTCTACATCCTGTTTCATGGTTCAGGCAGACGGTCGCTCAACCGGAGCTCGACAGTCAAGTAAGTCCTGTGTGCCCGTAGCTCATGAGAAGTCTCGAACATACCTACACAGAGCGAGTTATGGTGGGAGGAATCTCTCACCGAAGAAGAGATCTATGAGCTATGCAAGAAGTCTCCACAATTGCGCATTCCCGGCTCTTCCCGGCCCGGTATGCAACCTCCACCTATTTTCATCATATCCCCTCGAGTAATCGTCAAAACGGGTTGGTACACGCTCGGGGAGTTCGAACCTCGCGCGATGGAGATCGTTCGCGCTCAGACGTCGATCCCCGTCCCCAGACCATTGCGCATCTTCAAACGTGGCAACACGTTCTTGCTGGCTATGGAATACATCAAAGGACGCTCGCTCGACTGGTGCTGGGACGACCTCAGCCTCTGGCGGAAGTTCGTCATCGCATGGATGCTCCGTGGCTATATCCGCCAGCTCAGACGCGTACGGACAGAGCAGATCGAACGCCAAATTCCCGGGCCGCTCACGGATGATCTCTCAAAGCCGCTGAAATGTTATGGCCCCGCAATGGGTGCCGACTATCATTGCGGCCCCTTCTCATCCGCCACAGCGCTGTTCGAATGGCTCAATGGACGCTTGCGAGTCACGCAATACATCAGGGAGTGGGGCTTCGATATCCTGCCGTTCGTGCAGAGAGAGCCGCTGGTCCTCGTTCATGGGGACCTGACTCCACGAAATGTCGTGCTGGGTCATGACGGGAAGCTATGGCTGATTGACTGGGGCAGCTCGGGAGTTTATCCTCCCTGGTTTGAGGCTGCTGCCATGCTCTACACCCAACCTCAGCCGAGTTGGTGGCTATGGGTGCGGAGGTTAGTTGTGGGCTGGTATGCCTGTGACATGCATACTTACATAGGCGCACTGTATGGTATGACCACTGGCTTCTTTGTCCCAGACCTGCTTGTACACAAGTATTGATGTTCTTGCTGATCTGGACATTGTGAGGAATAAAGGGCAAAGAAGGCATATGCACACATTTGCCTGCGAATGCTGTCATGAAGTCAGTCATTTGCTAGATTTGTCTCTGCAGGATATTCATGAACCTCATTGGCAGTATTACAAGGCTGTAGAACCACTATCCCCCTTGCCTACAGGCACCTCTGTGGAGATCTCCTCAGTCAACCCCCTATAAGTGCACCATCCTCCAAGGTCACAAGCAGACACTTAGATGCTGTTGCTAGTCTCATTGGCAAGGGTAAAGGAAAGATGGTGTGTTCGGAGCACCTCACCTCCGTCAATCTGAACATTGATGCGGACAATGTCACAACTTGGTACGGCGTCTAGCTGTTTTTTAATTTTTCCTTTTCGCGGGCTCGAACCCGCGACCTCTGTACTACCTGCCTGATATGGACGCGTCATTATCTACTGTACGATTAGATTAGATGGGGCGGCAGCGCACGGCACAGCTCGGGCTCCGCTGACACAGCCGCTCTGACTCACCGGCCCCCGGGGCCGCGTTGGCATGCTGTGCACGGACCAGCTGCACACGGACCAACGCGCACAGCCTGCCCTAATCTCCCCATGTATATAAACCGGCCTCTGCTGCCCTAGGGACCTCAGTTTCGACCTCTTGTCCCTAGGTCAGTAAGCCCTCACTTGTATTCCTTTCTTACCTTACTAACCAATACATTTACTTGTCCCTAGCCTTAGGTTCGAGCATTGCTCACCATCACTTTGGTAAGAACCAGTCGAACGCCCCCTGCTTTCAGGTTTTCCTCTGTCGCTCGACCTCAAGTCGCGACATTAGGTTGAAACTCCCCACAGCTGCCGGCGTTCCATCGGGACCCACACACTCACATTCACTTCCTATAGGTTGGGTGGTGCGCACCCCTTCTGTACCCTACGATACATAGATAGCATACGATACATCGCCAACACTCGAGAAACGAACTCTTCAGTACCTGCGCTTCAGTGAGCGGTACTTGTCCTCACGGACGCGTAGCCTTGGTTCCTGCTGCATAATAGTCAAAAGCAGTATTGGGCCCTACGTGAACTGCGAATCTCAGTGTCATCTCGGGCGCCGTAGGTGTAAGCTAGTATAGCACGGCCTTTTGTAGCACGCGCACCTCCCCTTCCTCCCCCCCTCAACGTGGCTGACGAATTCTTCGACTGCTCTCGACTAGAGCACGCCTTCGACACCCAGGAGCAGGTCGACGTCTCCCGTGACGACCCAGACCACAACGGCAACCTAGCCCCTTTCTTCAGCTGTGATCGGCAACTGTGCCCTAATCGAACCCCATGGTCCATCACCACCGACGAAAACGAAGGGCGCTACGTACCGATCCGACGAGTCCAGCATCCCCGCGGCCCAGCACTTCGGTACGCTGGCACATCGCGATCTACCTCTCGTCACGTCACTCCCGTCCCATCTCGACCTGCCTCTCCCGGCACCCGCATCCCCCAACCTGTCGCCAGTACAGGTCAAGCGCGAGGAGATCCCCATCTCCCTCGAGGAACTGAGGCAGTCGCACAGCCTTCAGTGACCCCTCAAGCGATCCCCCAGTCCTCCCTGGGGCCGTGGTTGGAAAGGACTCCCAAGACTGAGCCCCGCGACACTCCGCCGCATTCTTGGGCCGGCTCGTCATCAGCGGTCACCACCTCGCCTTCAGTTCCTGTCCTACGTCACCCCGCCTCCGAACTTCCTCAACCGACTTCACCGCCGTCGCCGCCGCGAGGCCGCTCAAGCACTTGTTCCTTAAGAAGTCCGCCCGGCGGACAGTCACAACAGTCGCCTTCGTCCCCCTCGTCGCCGATAATGTCCTCTCCCACTGCTGTCCCTGATAAGGAGACGTTGAAGCTCCTCCTCCCGCTCCGCTACGATGGCAAGACCGTGTAAGGATTTACATGCATGCGCCGGTCTCACATCATAACCTCTACACCAAAAGGGTGCAATGTCAAGCTTGGCTTGACATCTGACTGGAGGTATATATGCTGATCATATGCCAACTCATGACAGACCGTCATCGAATGCAACCGGTTCCTGTCGCAGTTGCGCATCTACTGGCTGGTCAACACGTCGTTGACCACCATCAAACTCAAGGTGCAGGTCGCACTTAGCCTGCTCAACGGAGATGCCCGCACCTGGGCCACTCCCTACTTTGCCCAGCTCGCATCGGTGCAGGTGGGTGTGCAAGGGGCCACGACCCCGTTCGCAAACAAAGCGGCCTTTGCTGCCGCCTTCAGGGTCCGCTTCGGAAATCTCGACGATGAGGCGGCAGCACAAATAGAGCTGGCGAAGCTCTGCGCGAACAAGACGGTCCGTGAAAAACGCACCGCTGCAGAGTTCTCCGCGCTGTTCAAGGGTCCGGCGGACCGCTCTGGGTATGGGGACCTGGAGCTACGCAACAAGTACCTGAGCGGCATCCCCTCCCGCGTGTACCGAAAGATCGAGCTCGAGACCTTCACCACGTGGCAAGCAGCTGAGAAGCGCGCCACTGAGGTCGAGCAAATTCTCGACATTAGCCGGGCCCGTCGGCCCGAGCTAAATAACTTCTTCTCGGCCCGAGGTCGAGGGCCTGGAGGGGCACGTGGTGGTGCACCCCAGTCACACGCAGCTTCGGCCAGCATCAATGCAGCCGTCGGAAAAGGAAACTTCCCCGGCACATGCTTCGGCTGTGGGAAGCAAGGGTACCGACGATTCGAGTGCCCTAATTGTAAGGACAAACCTTACACAAAACGCGCCGACGCGCGGGCTACGGTCGCCTCGGGATCCACCCAGGCCGCGACAAGCGCCCCTGTCGCTTCATCCTCGGCGAGTACAAGCGCCGCTTCAGCGAAATCAGATAACTCCGAGCTGGCGGACTTGATAGCACAGATGAAGTCGATGCGCGAGGAGCTCGAGCACTATCGGGCCATGAAGGAGGGCTCTTTTTAATCCGGTCCGTGCTTCGTGCCGCACGCGTCGGACCGCGTAGTAACAATCTGTACAATGTATTGGCGACTGCGAATGTGTACGAGTTGGACCATGGGTCCCAGCATTTCCACATCCCGGTGCGCCTCCAAGGAAAAAGACGGCACAAGGACATAATCGCTATGGTGGACAGCGGAGCCACCACAAAGTTTATCAATAAGCGATTCATTGAAGAAAATAAGGTGCAAACGCGGAAATTAAAAGAGCCGATTCCGCTATACAATATTGATGGCACCCTGAACAAGGACGGAAGCATCTCGGAGGTAGCAGTGCTACAGATGCATATAGGAGAGCACGTCGAGAAGACGGTGTTCACGGTCACGGACATTGGTCCGGAAGATGTGATCGTCGGGTTGGATTGGCTATGTGAGCACAACCCTGAAATCGATTGGGAGAAGGGCTCCCTCAAATTGTCGCGATGCCCTGAAACGTGCAGTACCAGGAGGACTGGCCGAATGGAGCAAGCAGCAACTACGCGTGATACGGGGGTCAGGCCCACGGCACGCAGGCGTTCGCCGAAATCCAAACGGTTGGTTATAGGTGCCTGCCGGAGTAAGGTACTCCCGGACTTCGAACCCGAAGAAGATCCGGTGGAGGTAGAGTGGGATGAGGTCGATTTGATCGAAGCCTGGGAGCAAGGCATCACGCTTCCCGGTGCTCCTCAGCTGTTCATCGCAGCAGGACATACGTACTCCCTGTCACGACTTGGTACGGCGTCTAGCCGCTTTTTAATTTTTTCCTTTTCGCGGGCTCGAACCCGCGACCTCTGTACTACTTGCCTGATATGGACGCGTCACTATCTACTGTACGATTAGATTAGATGGGGTGGCAGCGCACGGCACAGCTCGGGCTCCGCTGACACAGCCGCTCTGACTCACCGGCCCCCGGGGCCGCGTCGGCATGCTGCGCACAGACCAGCTGCACACGGACCAACGCGCACAGCCTGCCCTTAACCTCCCCTGTATATAAACCGGCCTCTGCTGCCCTAGGGACCTCAGTTTCGACCTCTTGTCCCTAGGTCAGTAAGCATCCTTTGTATTCCTTTTCTTACCTCACTAATATATTACCTTGTCCCTAGCCTTAGGTTTGAGCATAGCTCACCATCGCTTCGGTGAGACTTAGTCGGACGCCCCCAGCATTCAAGTTTTCCTCAGTCGCTTGACCTCAAGTCGCGACATTAGGTCGAAACTCCCCAAGCTGCCGGTGTCCCCTCGGGACACCCTATATTCACTTTCCTTTCCCACAGGTCGGGTGGTGCGCACCCTTACGATACTCTACGATACATACGATACGTAGATAGCCCTACATACATCGCCAACACTAAGGGAACGAACTCTTCAGTACCTGCACTTCAGTGGGCGGTACTTGTCCTCACGGACGCGTGGACTAGGTTCCTGCTGCATAATAGTCAAAAGCAGTACTGGGCCCCACGTGAACTGCGAACCCTAGTGTCTTCTTGGGCGCCGTAGCGTAAGCTAGCATAGCACGGCCATTGTAGTACGCGCACCTCCCCGTCCTCCCCCCCATCCAACGTGGCTGCCTGCCAAGGCCAGATCCACGCATTCGACTCCCAGGACCTCATCGACGTCTACATCCCAGACGGCCCTGAGACAGTCCTCTATCGTTGCGAGCAGCAACCGTGCCCAAATCGGACACCCCGATCGATCGAGGAGGATTACCCTCGCTACAAAGCGATCCGACGAGCGCAACACCCGCTCGGACCCCGAAGCACCCTCGCATCTCGATCTGCCTCGCGGCACTCTCGCCCTGTC